AGGGAGTTTTTCATGACAGAGGGGGCATTCCCATGCCGCTTGGCTATCAGGGAGGTCAACCGAAGTAGCCACAACTTGGACAGCAGCTCCTAAACCATCAAACTGGGCCCTTTGTCCTTTGTGTCTCAGTTCTTTATGAGCATCAATCTTGCGTCTGAGCCTTTCGCGAGCATCAGGTCCTGGCGGCACCTTGATTTGAAGATCGCACAGCTTGCAAACCCATGACTGCTCAGCCTGGCCATCGTCAAGTGCAGTTTTGGTCATGACCGGCTTACATTTACCATACCTAGGATACGGGGCAATGTCAGGCAGGTAAAGGTGACAATCATCACTTTTAGGGCCTTCGTCTTGCTCATCTTTCGAGGAGTCAGTACAGGTTCTACAGCCAGTAGCGCTAGTCTCCGTGCATTGTCTTCTGGGCTTTTTGGTAGCGATGTCAACTCCTGAGTTCTGCATAGCAACAAGGTCAAAGTAACCACTCTGTTTGCAGTTCAGACGTCTTCGTTTCGGCGCAATAGCAGTTCCTTCAAGAATCTGGCTAAGGGCTTGCAGGTTCTGTTGGTGCTTCGGAAGACTAGAAGAAGGAGGCAGGCAGCTGCCACTTCTACGAGGCGTACTGTCAGCAAGGCTCAAAGCGCAACTTTCCTTCCCAGGTGTTTGTGATGCCAAAGAGATGCCATCAAAGCTGTCTTCAGTGTGGTCCTCAGCGAGGCAACCAGGCTCCTGAGGAGTTTTGCTGGAACTGTTAGTCCTGACAGGAGAAGGGGTAGCACTGGCGAGGTCAAGGCCATTCAACTCAGTTGTGTGAGAGGATCTAGCAAGAGCATCAGGAGTGTGCAGGCTGTCAGTTTCCTTACAGCTTGGCTTCTCAGGCGTGCCAGCAAGATGACTAAGGAGCCTATCACTGCTACCACTGTTGGGGCGCCGGTTAGGGAGATCACTGCCTGCTCCTCTCAGGGTGCCAGGGCCTCGCAGCGACGTCCTCTTCAACCACGCTTGAGGGATCTCAACATCAAGGGAGTGAGGAAGTAAAGCCCTGTAGTGTTTGCTACGCAAGGCAAGCACCAGGGGCCTCTGACTTTTGACTGTTTGCGCAATCTCCTCCCTCCACCAAGGGGCATACACAGCTCGAAGCCAAGTGTTCCAGCTCCACAGTAGTAAAAGATCACTATAGGAAGCCCTTGTCGCTCGGCCAGGGCTTGCAGTTGAAGTTCGTCAATCCATGTCTCACGTTTCGCAATGGCCTTGACGTATTCCTCAAAAGAGGTGGGTGCAGGGGCATTGCCCCAAACAGCCGTGTCTTCATTGTCATCAACAGCCCAATTGTCGATGTAGTCTTTTTTGTGTTTTCCTATGTGATTGGCAGCAAGAAGGCGCAACGTGGAAGCGCCCCTCAGGAGTTCATCTGGTGAAAAGGGTGGTTTCTTTTGATTGTTTTGCAAAGCAACCACAGCAGCCCGGAAGCCGCAGTCACCACAGCCTCCCGCCTCATTAAGGCTCCAAGGCCCAAGTTCCTTGAGGAGGATTTCATCAGGAGTCAAGGGTTTAGGCAGCTTCTTAGCTTTCTTCTCCGGGGGCGATCGTGATCTAACCCGTTCTGGTTTGGCCTGAGTGGTTCCAGTCAGAACAACAGATTCATCTTCCTCATCACTACTGTCAAGCTGAGTGTCAGGAAAGGTAGGAGTCAGGGCATTGATCTGAGAAGTTCTGTTGTCAACCCATCTTTTCTTGGGAGCTTGCAACTTTGTTGACTTGATAACTTTTTGTCTACGCCCACCTTCAGGAACAATAGTAAGGCAGCAATCAATGTCAGAGTAACTCCATGACGATTCAGTGGAATCTTTTGGTGGCATGGCTTTCTCTAACCACTCCGGCTGTGACCCTCTGAAGCGACCTTTTCTTCTCGAGAGAACAGTAACATCGAGCCATTGAACTGAGAAGAAGAAATCTCTGACGTCAGATTCATCCCAGTCACGAGGAGCCCCATGCAAAACGTAGTGTCTGGCTCTAGGTTCGTAGTCTTGAAAACCTCCAACCACTCCCAAGTCAGCAGAACCAGACTGGCGTAAAGCAAGTGGCAGGTTTTGACTTTCAGCTGAGGCCCAAGCGACACGAAAGAAGTCCTCATCTGAAGTAGTGCTCTCACGCCTCAACCAAGAGACAGGTTCCTTAGACGCGTTCTTGTGCACTATCGTGGCGAAGAGCGCTTGGGCTCCGCTGCGCTGTAGAGCAAGTTTGCCAAGCTCCAGCGGAACTCTTAAGTGAGCAACTAAACAGGTGCCTTTCGAGGTTTGAAGCGTTTCCCAGGTTCCACCGGTAAACACTTTAACTGGTTGTTCCAGGGTGCGGGCCCAAGCGGTGATAACTGAGCTCGGGGTGTCCCAATGCTCAGTTCCAAGAAAAACCACCCTGTAATGTGACGGCGCCAACAAGCGCAGTGTACACATTTCCTGTTTCGGTTTGTGGCATATTTCAACAGTCCTTGGAGGTTTGGGCTCGGGCCCAATGGTGGCTGTCAGTTGTCTAACAGTAACCTTGATTCTGTGAGCCTGTGAACTGAGTTTTGAGCCTTGCCACCAAACGGCAAGGGAAGGTCCTACCGAAGAGGCCTCAGCAACGCAAGCAAAGGAAAGGGCCTGCGTGACCTCAAAAGCTTTTACAGCTTGCTTAAGCTCATCTCCAATGCTCGGGTCTTGGGATAAGACAAGGTTTCCAGGAAGCGGATCTCCTTCAGCCAAGGCTTTCTTAATGGCCGCAGGATTTGTGACGATCGTTTCGGCATCCCACTCAGCAGGCAGGACTTTGGCAGCAAACTTACCTAGCTTGGTTTTGGGAGCGGTTTCTTGCAAAGCAGGAAAGTCTGAGTGCTTGAGCTTGCGACGCTTGGAGCCATTAGTTCCTTCACCAGTACTCTCTGCACGCACAACGCGGGGCACTCCTGAAGAGGGCACCTGGGCTGTTGGTTTAGGCGGTTCATAGGTTGCATAGTCCTTGTCTGCCCAGTCTTGCCAGGCTTCTGGAACCCAGGCTGACTGAGTAGCCTCGTGTTCCCAACTACGCATCCACTGTCCAACCTTACAAGACTGAGGTTCGTACCAGGCTTTCCAAGCGTCTGGCTCCCACCAGCCTGTGTCCGGATCTTGGTAGGTTTCCCATTCTGGGACTTCCTGTTGCCAACCTTCATTGTACCAAGACCAACTGCGATCCTGAGAGGTTTCGCGTACGGTTCTCGGGACACGAGTCTGCTGTGGAATCAACCCTATTGCTTGCAGAGTATGAATCATCTCATTGCGGATAGCTTTCATAGCAGCAGGGGTGATTCCTGAACCTTTGAGTTGCTGTCTGAGGCGTTTCGTTCTCGCCGTTCCCCTGGGGCCAGGAGGCCCCGGATTCGAGGCCTCGCCTACTCTAACAGCAAGGTAGGGGTTGCATCCTATTGCAAGGAGAGTCGCGACGATGACAAGCATGAAATGCTTGACTTCTTTGAAAACACGTCCCGGCAAGTGTGGTCCAACAGCACTACTTTCAGGGATTATCTGCTCATGACTCAGGCAGTCAGGGTCAAGGGCTTGACGCTTCTTGGGCCATGGCAGTCTGCCCTTGCTCAGGGCTTTAACCCTAGCTAGGGCTTTGAGTCTCGCGCGCCATCGACACCACATTCGTGGCCGTCTGTATCGGACTCCTGCAACTCGTCTGCATCTGAGTGCGAAGCGGCGCCGAGGCCTTCTGACTTTACGTCTCCGAGACCTTTTGGCTTTCGTGACAAGTTTTGAAGTTTCCGCCTTCACTGCAACAGGTTCACCTACAGTACAGGGGGCCTTACTCTCACTCTCTCTACGCGACACGAGCAACAGACTGAGGCCCAGGCGACTGCAAAACAAAAGAAACTGAAGTATTGGTCTCTCGAAGTAGGTCTCGAGAGATAGAGCACTTTGCATCATGACAATGGGTAAGCCCACAGTACACAAAGCATCTTGCAAAAGGTGTTCTTTTTGAGGAACTTTGGGAGACTTCGTGGGTAAGCCTACGAAGCCATCTTTACTACAAGCATGAACACAGAAACAAGACCGTGCAGAAGGAATGCCGAGAGGCAAACGGGTCACTGCCGTGACGTTGCTGCCAGGTGTCACCTCCAAGAAGCCAGAAGCAACGAGTTCCATCCATGGCATCGCACTGGTGCCGTGGGAGGGACGGGAACGGAGGCAGCCCGAGGGGCAGTGGTAAAGTGTTTCAAGGGCGACGCTCTCACTGCTCTGATTCTTTTGACCAGAACAAGCAGAGACATCCCCAACTAGAAAACCCAGGAACAAAAGGGTCGTAAGGACTCTGACAGGGAACCTAAACCCGTACCCTGAAGACGTGGAGTTTCGCCCCACTTTTGAGTCAGCACTGACTCGCTTTCTCACAGATTCAACCACGAAGGTCTGTTGAAGCGCTTTCAACTGCGTCTTATCATCTGCCATCATTGGCTCTTGACTTTGTTCTTTTGGTGCCTTCTCTGGCATCTTGTTAAGCTTTTCTTGACTCTGTTCTTGAAGTGCCTTTCTTGGCATCTTGTTTTGTTTTTGTGCTTTACTTACTTTCCAGCAAGAGGCCCAGGTACCTTTCGTCGCCACACCAAAGTGCAGCTCCGCGACGCCCACGAGGAGGGAGACACGGCCGACCAGGATCTTTGTAAGACGGACACCACCCCCCGATACAAGCGAACCCCAGTTCGGAGAAACTCCGACAGCCCTTTGGGGAGACGAATCCTAGCAACAAAAAACGCAAGGGAAACTTGACGAAACAAAGGGTCCTCGATACCGCGCGTATAACATCCGCACGGAGGAAGACTCTGATGGAATTCAACCTACCAAAACCCACTTTTTTGCAGGTTCCCGTTACAAACCCTACTATGGGATTTATAGGGGCCCTACCAAAAAAAGGTAGGCTCTGATGGGTTAAGGTACTCAACCGTATGAGGGGCGTCATCTCCCCAGAGAAATTGCGCTTCGGGGGGCCTTGAGTCCGAAGGTGCCAGCACCTTGCGGTCGCCGTGGAGCAGCAGCAAAGCCCTTCGGTCACCTCGGGGGTGCTGAGGGTTCGGGATTTAGGGTTCAGGGGTTTGTGGTGTTTCATGGAGCTCACTGGGCTTAGGAACGGTTTGTAGGGCTTTTATTTAGGTTTTGTAAAGGCTTCGGGGTTTTGCCACGAAGGCTAGTCTCAGGAAAGACTTTTGCGGGGGTGGAAAGGTCCCGGAGATTTTTGCCGTGGTGTTTATACGACGGCTATCGGTTATCTGGTTTGGGGTTGGGTTTTGATGCATTTTGGCTTTAAGGCGTAATGCTTACAGGCTTCGGGGCTTGGAGGCGCAGGGCTGGGCTGTTTCGTTGGGTTCTTGTAATGGGCCCGGAGTTCAAGTTTTCATAACAGGGATACATAGTAGCTACAGTGGCCACATGCTTTCCTTCTCATGGTATCGTTCCTTCAAAAGGACCCTGTTGCCTGTTTTAAGGGACAATAGGAGGGACCCCTAGAAGGGACCCCAAATCCAAATACCCTATATAACCCTTATATACCGATTATATAGTCTCATAAAGCCCCTATATAACCCCAAGGGTCCCTTTAAGAGTCCCTCCTTTAAGGTAAACCGTAAACCCTAAACCCTAAACCCTAAACCCTGAACCCTAAACCCTGAACCCTAAACCCTAAACCAAGGGTCCCTTTAAGGGTCCCTCCTTTAATCCCTCGCTCGTTGGGGGCTTCCCTGCCAGGATCCCTCGGGGCCCTCGTTGCACGGAGAAGATTAGAGGGCGCGCTTCGCTACGGCGCCGAATGGCCGGGGCCGGAAAACAGTACCTCGTACATTCAGGGGTTTAGGGGTTATGGTTTAGGGTTTAGGGTTTAGGGTTTCAATTCGCGGATTGCTATACCATCTTATTGCAGTCGCTTAGCACTCTCGAGGCTTGGAAGCTTTCCGGCAGTCCCACCTGGCAGCTGGCTGTAGACACGGTGGCGTACGAGCTCCACATGGGGAGAGTTGGCGCGGCACTGCAGCAGCAGCCTGGGCAGCTAGTATGGGGGCCTTAATAATTAGAATAGGGTTTTGGTGCCCAATTTCTATAAATATGATAAGGACCCCCCGAAATAGAATTGGTAATTGTGAAGGCCCCTATATTACAGGGATGATCCATCTCGAGTCCGAGATCCCCCATCCCAGGCTCCCCATCTGCTGCCCCTAGCTTTCTGCTGTACAGCAAAAGCCACGAGCATCCCAAACCCGGTAGACAAAGACAACTGACGCCGCAACGCAAGCGAAGGCGGTAATCGACTGTTCTTCTCAACCCTAAACCCTAACCCCCCCATAAATTATGCAACAAATGTTGATGAGGTCAGCATCCAGGCGGCAAAGATCCCGAAGGAAGCGAAGTTGCGCCGAACTCCTGAAGCTTCTTCTCCTGGGCTCTTCTTCAGGGACTTCGGCTAAGTTACCATAATGGGGAAATAATGTTGTTTCCGGACTATTGATTATGGCAACTTAAACCAATTTCGTCAAAGTTACCAAAGCAGGATGTGCAGGACAAAAAGGTGGTTATGGCAACTTAGATCAAGTTCCTGGACAACAGCTCAAAACATAATTTCCCTAACACTCTTAAAAGATTCCTTGAAAACCCCGCTATGACAGCCTTGACATAAGTTCATAAGCAAGGACCTTACTAAAATACACACCGAAACTCTAGTGAATCGTAATCGTATTCATGCCCCTTTGAAAAATCATCCTTATTCCGACTTATTCCGGTAGAATAAAAAGAACAATTCCGAAGCAAAGACGGAGTCTCGAGGTCGAGCTCGGAGGTCAGTGCGTCCACCGCCACGCAAGCAATCCCCGGAACCTGCTCCTGCAGAATGGGTGCGGGGGTGGTGGGGTTACAGGGGTTACGGGGCCTCTGAAAGGGATTTTGGGTCTAGAGTTCTGGGGTTGCGGGGTCCAGGGGTCAGAGCATTTGAGGAGCGTTTAGGGCACAGGCTTCGAGTTTGAGCATAATGTCAAAACACCTCCTAGTAGAGGCTCCTTCAACAGTTCAGTCAAGTTGATGTGAAGCGGCGACATGGTGATCATCACGGCGAAGCGCCCGGTGGGCGGCGTTTCCGGCTCAACTGGGTGCTGCCAGCCGTTTGCTTTGATCCACTCGGGCAGTGACTGTGGTTGAGCGAAGACTTGCTCCCTCCACTCCTGTGAAGATTGAGGTGGCAAGGCCTTGGGGTGCTACAGGCCTTGTTCTACCATGCAGCATGCAAGAAAGAAGGACCTTAAAGCGCCAGTATTGTGAATCATCTTCGTGTTTGTGTCGCTCCCTTTGCTCCTGAGGCCACTTTGGATACCGTCCCGCCAGTTCTGACAGCTCAGTAGCCCGCAGCATTCCGTCCGTGGTGGCCACGGAAGCCAATCGAAGCCAGCAGTGTCGGAGGAGCTGGAGTGGATTGTCGCAGGCGGAACCAGCTTCTGCTGAGACTTGGGCAACCAAGGACGCAGCCGTTTCCGGGCCCCAGCCTTGCATCTCCAACAGCCAAGCAAAGGCAAGTTGCGGTCAACGCAGCACAGACTACTACCAAACACGCTGAACCGTCTGAAAATGCGTAAACCTTGCATGAACAAATCAAGCAGCCCACGAAAATCTCTTCAACCCGCGGCATGGCTGCTAGGTTCACCTGCTGTCGGAGCATCTGGACGGTCTTGAGAGGCACTTCCTCTGACATTCCAGCCTCAATGCCCACCTGAGTAAGCAAGGCCCCAAGGAGGGGATACATATCAGGAGTCTGCCCTTGGAGTTTAAGAGCTCCTAAAGGTGGCTATTGGCAAATACATGCCAGGGAGCGCTGAATCAGGTGTGACGCCCCTGACATGTAAAAAGCAGAGAAGTATCGCAGCTGAGCAGCACAGTGCTTCTCAAATCGGTTGAGGAAGGCAGCATCCAACTTGTCCAACTGTGTCTTTTCCTGTAGTACCACACATCTGAAGCTCTCGTGCACCTCCGTCAGCATGTCTGCATCACCCAGCGCGATTCGACAGAGCTGCTTGCCACCCATGGTCGTGTAGCTCATGTTGAGCATGTCATACAACGAACCATGCACGACGTCGAGGCCCCGCATGACCAACACATCTCCTCACTGCTTTTCCAAGGAAGAGAGCACTGCCACTGACCATCAGCGATGGTTAAATCTAAAGTCCCCAACTCGAAATGCTCATTTTATCTCTGAAGCGACTCCTAAATCCTATCCCGAGGTAGCAAACACAAAAGCAGCTCGTCCTTTTTCCATCGACAGGGTGATTCGCTTCAGCAGGCTGAAAGCATAGTGGTCCTCAAGGTTTCGGGTTCTGCGGAATGAGGTTTTTTTAGCTTCACGGCTTGGTATGGGCTTCAGGTCGGTTTTTCAAGGCAGAGCATAGGAAGTATGGTTCACGACCTCGGGCCGTGGGATGGATGGGCTTTCGTTGCCCAGGCTCGGAGCGATCTTCTGGGAAAGTGGATCCCACCATGATCTGAATCTGCCGTCCGGCATGTGAGGCTGCTGTCTGGACCAAGCCGATGGCCGTCTCTGTGCCGCCACTGCAGACGAGCAGCAGGTGCCGAGCACAAAGCTTGTCATTCAAATTCCTGGGCCGATGCGAAGCAACTCGATCTCAGGTTATCTTAACCGGGTTCTGTAACTTTCTACAGGGGTCGGGTGCTACCATAGCAAGAAGAAAAGCACATTTCTTACCTAGCAACTTAAACTAAGCTACTAAGGCGAGCCCAGGCTCTCTGCCACAAGGTCCAGCACGTTCAGAGTCTTTTTGCTCATCCATTGCTCCAGTCCAAGGCAGCGCCACTGTTTCTGGATAAACCTGAGTCACTGGTACTGATGATGTCCAGGGCTATGAGACAATACAAAACATTGTATGGGGCTATGTAGAACCTGCACCATAACATCAATACATACATGTGCGTATATGTACAAACACAATTGCATAAGTACAGTGGTGTATGTATGACCTGTAATCTACACAGAACATTTGTCTGTCCGCCTGTGGGCCTCTACGTAAGTAAGTGTGTCAGTTTATGTACGTATGTATTCATGCATGCATGCATGTACGTATTGCACGTATTGTATGCGTACACATGATTACACGCATACATACGCAAACACATACACACATGCATGCATACGCACATTCATTCATTCATTCATTCATTCATTCATTCATTCATTGATTCCATTCCATTCCATTCCATTTCATTCCATTCCATTCCATTCCATTCCATTCCATTCCATTCCATTCCATTCCATTCCATGCCATTCCATTCCATATATTCATTCAAACACCGACACCCAAATTAATCAAACCTGGGAGCAGGCACGGGGTGCTCTTGGCGTACTCGGAGTGCGGTAGAACTTCGTCCGGGAGGCCGCAGAAATTTCGGAAGGCCGCGCGGAAGATGGTAGACTGCCTCGTTCAGTTTCGGGTTTAGGGTTTAGGGGTTTATGGTTCGGGCTTCATGTCTACTGGCTCGTTCAGGGTTGGCGGCTGAAGTCTCCAGTTCTCCAAAGCCTGGGATACCTGTTCTGGCTTCGCCGTAGAGTCCTTGTAAGCCGTAATTTGGAAGGGTCCCGCTCTTTCTGGATCCTCCCAGATTTCGAATTGGTAGACCACGCAGTCGGCCGACAAACCCAAAAGTGAGAGGAGGGAGCGCCTGAGAGGGATTGGTGTATTTACTGACGTTGCCCAACTTTCGCGAGCGGGATTGTCCTGTGCAGCCTGGCTTCATTGATGGGGAACCCGCATAGAGGGGCGCTGAACTGTGAAACGGCTGAACTTTACTGCAATCGGCTCCGACCAAGATAAGTACCTTAAAGGGCTTTTCAGTTGGAGCAATTCCCAGATGACTGCAAGCGCAACAGAAGAGAGCAAGCCTGGTCTTGTGATCTTTCGGCCATTTCTTCGCCAAGGCTTTGACGAAAAAGTAGAAGTCTCGCAGGCCATGGTAGTCTTGGACAGGCTGCTCCTTCCAGAGCCGCTGCTCCGCTACTAAGCCAGGCATCATAACCGGGGCAAAATGTTGAGAGAGCACTCAAGCAGGCATGAAACCAAAGGCAGCCCTGGCAAGTCCAAGTCCTCGTAGTATTGGTAGTATGCTTTCGCAAGGTTTTCGAGGTCCAACTTGTCCGTCAAGCCCTTGCCTCAGCAGACGTATCTCAGGGTTCTGGGATGTTGAGGGTTGACGACCCCGAGGCAAGCGTCTTCTTAAATTTCAATCACAGAAGCCTCACCCTGAATGTTCAAGCTGAAATCCCAAGCAACCCTTAAACCTTAAACGAGCTTGGCCTGCTGGCCTTTCACGGTTTAAAGTTTAGGGTGTAGGGTTTAGGGAAAAGTTTAAGCTTCAGGATACCGTACCAAATCTCATACCAAGCCCCTATTAAAACCCTATTGAGCCCTTATGAACCTAAAGCCTTAACCTCTGAACCCCACAAGACAACATGGGGTGATTTTTTTGGTGGCATCAACTTCTCGATCGAGTATATCGTGTACGTCATTGCTTTGGAAAAGCTGATGAAAACGCCGTTTTGCTGCGCAAAATTTTTTCCATGGCTCCGGCGCACTTCCCGCCTGACTGGGTGCGTGGGGCTGACCAGCGGGAGGGGAGGCTGAACTCAGTCCAACTCCTTGGCGGGGTGGTGCCAGAATTTTCAGGGGACCTAACGAAGCTGGTACGGTCAAGATACCACGATGCAGTTGAAAAGTGGGTCGTGACCAATGCGTTTGCAACAGCGCAGCACTCAACCATTGATTTGGCCCAACGGCGACGACCCCTCCAAGCCGTCGAGCCTTCACGTTTTCTTCATGCGTCTGCCGGAAAAAGTCTCGCAGTGCACCGGCGAAAGGGACACGGGTCTTAGGTACAGGATTTCTCGGAGCGTCCCAGATGCGAACATCATTTTCGGTGCATGACACCGGGTGTACTGCTGGGCTAAAGTTATTTCATGGTGGCTCAGAAACAGGTAACGCCATTCAAGGAATGACTACCTTTGAGTTAGCTACAGGATCACAATACTCGGGAAGATTGTCGTGCTTTGGGGGGATCGTCTTGGGACACCTTCTTCCAAGTTCAACGAAAACGGGTCCGAGAGGGGTCAATGGCGTCTGCTCAGCGCTCGAGTACAAGAATGATACCCATGTGCTAAGGACATCCAAAACATTTTTCACGACCACATCCATCAAACTGAAACCTACACAGCAATCCTGGAACCTCAGTTTCTCTCCACGCACGGAATACTGTGAAAGAGGGTGCTTGAATTCTCGGGGAATATTGGGGAGTGCAGGAAGGTAGGACTTTCGGCCTCCAAGTATAGGCATCAGTCAGGGTCCGAGAAGGGCTTAAAACATCCTTTGATCTCATGGGATCCAATCGCATTTTAAATCTTCCATAGTTTAAAATCACCACATTTTGAACTTTCTGGCAGTCATCGAACTCTACGGGAGTTCCACGAGTTCCCATGCAAGGACATCAGCCGTTACCGGGGGCCGGATCCAGAGCTGCCTCTTTGGTTCCAGCACTCGGCTTTAGAGTTTTGAGTTAAACATACCGAGCCCCTTTGGAGTTTGTAGGGTTTTGGTAGGAATCTATGGGGTTTAAACTTCGTTGGGGATCGGCTTTGAGGGCGTACTGATGTAATCCCATATGCAACCCCTTAGCAACCAAAGCTCTTGTACAAGCCTCAGAGCCCTGAACCTCGTAATATAGGGGCCTGAATACGTCATAATCATAACAAGGAGCACGAAAACGAATACAGGTAATATTCAGGCTGCCATATTCCGCTCCATATATATATATATATATATATGTATATATATATATATATACATATGTATACGCACAGAGAAAGAGAGAGAGACAGAGAGACAGAGAGAGAAAGAAAGACAGAGCTTCGCAATCTTGGGAAAGGCTGGGTCACAAAGGGTCTGCATGGTCTTCTGCAGGTCTGTGGTGGGAGGCGGCGGTCGCACGAGGGTGATGCCACGATTCATCTTGGCGGCGTCCAGAGGAAAGTTGGACAACCCCACCACAGCATAGTCCGGCCTGTCCTGGTAAGCCGTCGACTTGTTAAGGGTTACGGCATCAGAAGTCCCAAGGACAGCACGCACAATCCTTGACCCAAAACCTCAGAAGTCTGGGCCGGTCATAGTCTGAATCCCCATGTCTGAGCCCTGAGTTCCGGGACGATCATGATCCGTTGTGTCCTTCGGGTAGCCAGGCTCGAGGTGTGCATGCAGCACCTGCACATGCTAGGGATAGATAATGATTGAGTGTCCCACTATGAGGCTTTGTCAACGCTGAGAGGGGCATGAACAATGCTACGACCGCTATCCCGACATGCTCACTATCTCTAATCGGCCACACTGTTGCTTGTCGCTCTTGCGTTCGCCCATAGCTCTGACCTTCCCGCCCTGAACCCGAAAGGAGAATGCAACTTCCGCATTAGCGAAAGAGGCGTTGCCTGTGCTGGCAGGCATGTATGCCGGTATGCACATAGGTCTTTGCGTTCAGACAGTAAGGAGCGACAGAGGTTTCCGGAGTAGGAAACCGGCTTCTGAGGCCAAAGCCATAGTGCTTATGTGCTTATAAACTCCTCACACTCCAGGGTCAGAACAGTGATGATCCTGCAGCAGCCCAGCAGCCCAAGAAATCGTAAACATGCTCAACTTCGCAAATTTTGCATAAAATCGGATGTGGTATGGACACTGTTCGAAGTACTTGAAGTGCACCAGCCTTAACTCTCCTTCATGCAAAGCCTAGCTTGTAGAGCTGCTGTTGCCGAGCTATACTTTCTGGGTTGACGACTGAATCACATTTGGTGACAGTAAGACATCATGAGATGGTCTGTCGGCAACGCCGTCCGCAGGAGAATTCAATGCTTTATGACATGTAGGGAAATCGTGTGTCAACCAGACATGTGGAATATTTCAGTTCGGGAAGGCGCGTGCTGAGGCGGTCGGGTAGGGGCGATGGTACATCTGCTTCTTCGTGTGAAGATAAGTACGTACATAAGTAGGTGGGTAGGCAAGTACTTGATGCTTGCACGAATGTACGTGCACATGTATGTATGCACAAACCCGCCCCTGCAAACACATGCAGACTCTTCGTGAGTGCTTTTTGGATGTGTGTCTTGTTGAAGCCAAACTTCAATCCCAACTCTTAACCCTTGCCTTGAGCGGGTTGTTGGGACTGGCTTCCGCTAGGCCGATCTCGTCGAAGTGCACGAGGATTAAGGCATCCTTCGCCCGGCTTTCCTGGAATCTGCAGCGGCTGCAGGAGGGTTCAGAGGTTGCGGAGAGCAACCAGAGTCGTGTTGAGATTCAAAACAGTCTTGGTGCTGGTCGTAATCAGGGCACTCGCAGCAGACATGACCATCGGCTCTTGAACTCTTCGAGCCGTAGGTCATTTGACTTGTGGCTGCAGGTTCGGGGTTCACAGTTTCTTGGATCGCAATCATTACATTCCTTGCCCTCCTATGTTCGCGCTGGTTTGTCCTACTCGGCAAGTTATTCAAGGGCTAGCTGGGGATTCTTGACAACCTGAGTGGCCACAGCTTCCCTAAGGGCCCAGCCGAGGGACGGAACCGTGAGAAATAGTGCTGTCCCACCCCATCACACGTGCGTAGGTTTCTCTGTCTGGTGCTTAGTAGGAAATGGGGGAATGGATCCCTATAAAGTCCCTTAAAGTCCCTTATAGTAGTCCCTAGAACCTATTCCCCCATTCCCCTACGAAGCACCAGACAGTTTATGCTAGGATGCGGAGAGCAATTTGCTGCTTACCCAGACCCCCAAAAGGAGCTAAAAAATAGATCCCTTAATTAGGGACCCTAACTACTAAAGGGTACTTTATAGGAACCCCCTTAGGGGATCTTTGTTTTAGATCCTTTTGGGGGTCTGGAACTCTAAACCCTAAACCCTAAACCCTAAACCCTAAACCCTAAACCCTAAACCCTAAAACCCTAAACCCTAAAACCCCTAGGGGATCTATTTTTTAGATCGTTTTGGGGGTCTGGGTTACGGCCCTGGCCAAGGCTCCCTGTAGCGCTTCGCCTTCTCGAAGACTTTGGTGATGCCCTCGCTGGTGGACACCTTGCAACCGGTTTAGGGTTCAGGGTTTAGGGTTTAGGGTTTAGGGTTTAGGGTTTAGGGTTTAGGGTTTAGGGTTTAGGGTTTAGGGTTTAGGGTTTAGGGGTGGACACCTTGCAACCCCCAAGTACAAAGACTGACATCCTGCGCCCCTGTTAAAGGAAACTAGAGGTGGGGAGTTTAGGGTTTTGTAGGGCTTCTAAAAGGCTTCTATGAGGTATATATATATATATATATATGAAAATGTCCTAGACCCTGACCCCGGAACTCGCAGCGACGGCGATGTTGGGGTTGATGAGAGAAGGAAGCTTTGAGGCTCTATCGGGGCCCCAGAGAGCCCAAGACCCCTTAAATAAGGAATATGCCTATAATTTAAAGTGCATTCCCTATTTAAGGATTAAGGAATATGCCTATAATCATTTAAAGTACAGTCCCGGTGTATTGGGCTCTCTGGGGCCAGGGTTCAGGGCTTCTTTACACACTTACACCCCAGGCCCGCAGCAGTGAAGCCGACGCCGGCAGACTTGAACTTGAACTCTATATTATTGGGTTTAGGGTTTAGGGTTTAGGGTTTAGGGTTTAGGGAGTTTCCGAAAATAATCCGAAAATAAGGGGTACCTTATTTGGGGGGTCCTTATCATAAGGATCCTACTCTATATATTGGGAGTCTCCGAAAACAAGGGGGTACCTTATTTGGGGGGTCCTTGTAATAAGGATCCTACTATTTTGGGTACTATGTTAGGGTCCCCAGTTATCAGAAACCCGCATATCAACACCAGCATGGATCCCAGGTAGTCGCGTGTCTCTATCCTCACATGTCCTCACAGTCCCTTAAGACGAGGATTGCCGGTTATTCCGTTCTTCAATTTCACAATGCAACCCCAAAACAGAACAGGAGCAAAGGGTTACCACTTGGGAACATAACATCAAACGGTTCTGGAACCCTACAAAACTCTCTTGGAGGATCATGGGACTTAGTAAGTCGGGGTACAAGCTACAGTTACCTTACTTCTAATATCCCTAAGCCCTTAACCCTAATCCCCTAAACCCTAAAACCCTAACATCTCTTTAAACCCTACAACCCTAAAACCCTAAACCCTAAAACCCTAATATCTCTTTAAACCCTATACCTAAAACCCAAAAGCCCTACACCGTGTCCCCTGATCCTTAAACCCAGACCCCCAAAAGGATCTAAAAAATAGATCCCCTAACTAGGGACCCTAACTACTAAAGGGTACTTTATAGGAACCCCCTTTGAGGGATCTATTTTTTAGATCCTCCCGG